AGGCTCCTCTCGAGACTATAAAAAAGACTGCTTGTGCAGACAACCCTCTTGCAGAAGTCAACGCATTGACTAAAGAGAACTGCTGTAACTAGCTTGGCAGGCTGGATTGCTGCCAAGGATTGTCTGAGTTGCTGCCAAGGACCTTATCTGTTTGTTTGCTTGGCTTTCAGCCACCAAGATTTTGGTCTTGGTATTGAAGTACATTCTAGTTAAGCTTGTCTTGGCTTTCGTTACTGGACGGAGGAGGAGGTCAGAACAGCTAAGTATCTACATTCAGATGTATTTACAATAATAGAAATACATTAAGTCAATTAAACACAATGCTGTAGTGTTTCAAGTAAATAGGAAGGACATTTAGACATATTTCTTGTAGATTAACATAGGTCCTAGTTCTCCTACTTGATATTCATTCAGTCTATTATTGGACCAGAATGGCCTTATAGCCCTGAAACGCTTTCTGTTGTAACTAAATCAACATTTTACTCATTTCATAGCTGCATATACATGTGCATTGGCTATTTCAATAATATGGAACAAATTAGTCCCAGCAGCTTGTTAAACACTGACTTGCATTATAAACAGTAATTAGAGCCAATCGGTTGCATCTCCATTTTCCAGGGCAGAGCCCGGCTACCTCAATTAAAGTTATTCCACAAATTTACGATTCAGGTTTTTAAAAGAAAAGGCATGGCAACCATTCAATTTCATGCTCCACATACAGTTACTTTTCTAGAAAACTGTCCTTATTATCCTTCCCTCTATTACAAAATAAAGCGTAAAGTCTGATTGTGGTAAATTCATGTTAATTACATGAGTAAATTGCAATGTTTTCGGAATGAAAAAAAGGGTCAAATATTGAACTTAGGATGTCCTGCACATCTACAGTTCAGCTTTGACAGTTATCATCTTTAAGCACCAACTGATGTGAGATTTAAAAAGCTGCAGTTCGCAACAACTAATTTAAAAAAACCTCTGATATACTGAAATGCAGCTGGTTGAAACCAAGGCAAGCAACTTTCCAAGTATTTTAGTCAGTGTATTTTATGATCATAACGTATTTATCACAGGGAAGAAAACTAATATGAAGCTTTTATTCCCTAATTTGCATAAATGTATCCTGAAATAACAATGTATGCAAACGTGTAACTTGAAGATTTCATTTAGTATGGTTGCAATTTATTAAGCCAAGATGAATTGGAAATAAGATACTGGGGTTCTATTTTGGTTAATTAGCATCTAGCCCATCCTGGCTTATCTCAAAAGTTAAACAAGGTCAGACCAAAATTCATATTTGAAAGGCAACCTCTGGGAAAACTGAAGTGAAGAGGGAGGGAAAAACAGACATTATCGCAGATATGATTAACTGGGAATAGTAGAGTTTAATTCAGATTGGCCTCCTTTTCACCATTCATTATCACATGAGAAGCATGGAATGAGACTGCATATATTTTTATAGACTTTTAAAAAATATAATTTCATTAACATTTAAAAACACTGCCATGTTAATTATTAATTTATGTTACTTCTTATAAATTAGAGTAAATAGCACAATATTAATATATTAGGTTAGCATAAAAGACTATGTTAAAAAAGAAAGCTAAGTTGCTATAATAAAAACAGCTATTGTAGTGAGAGAGAGAAAAAAAGCAAACACCCCCCCCCCCCAAAAAAAACTCTTTTCCTTTACTAATAGTGGCATGGGGGATAAGAGCCGAAGTGGCGCAGTGGTTAGAGTGCAGNCATTTTGCATAATCCACCATATTTTTATCCAAAATGCCTTAACCTTTTTGCAAGTCCACCATATATGAAAATATGTAGCGTCGAGAGAATCACATGTCCAGCATTTCAATTTTTATAAACATTCTTATATAGTTCAATAACACATACTACCACCATATTTAACTTCATCTTTAAGCTTGATTTATTCTGACACAAAAACAGTCTTTCGGTTGCTGGATTGGGGAAATGGTTAATTTGTGTTAAGAGAGAGGTGGTGTCAACACTATGAAAGAAGCAGTGATATATACCCTCCTCAATAGGTACTACTTGATTCAGCCATTGGAACAATTACTGGCCAATATCCAATATTCCATGGTGGGCAGAGGGTCTGTAGAACAGTCGTCAAGGGGAAAACCGTGTGCGCTGTAAACTTCTTTTCTATATGTGTCATAACCTTGAATATGTATGTATGAAAGGAGAGAATTTGTACTGCAAAAATACAATGTCCTGCAGACATCTCTGGTAATAAGGTATCTGGTTACAGAGGGATGGCTCTAAAGCGAATGGTTTATCTGGATCATTTACAGTCAGCATAGAAATGGTTTTGTTACAATGGTGGATTATTTTTCTCAAGACCTGTTTCAAGAGAGTGCAGCATTTCTGATCTCTTTAAATCTTTTGGCAGCATGCTATATCATTAACAAAGCAATTCAAGATATTCTTGAGTTGTCAGCTTACATATTTGCCAACTAAATTCTGGACTATCTAAAAGTGTTGGGATTTGGTAGAACTGGTGGTTCCAAAATAAGTAAATGGCAATTCCAGCTAAGAATATGTGTGAGGAAATAATAGTTATGCCTATAATTATTCCATTAAGGTGCTTGGTCCTCCCTTCCATATTATTTAATAGCTGCATAAAACCACGCATTTGCCCTGTTCAGAAGGGTATGCTGAAGATTCCCATGTGTGTGAAGTGTGTGGAGCCCATCAATGCACTTTTGTATGACTGCTAATAAGACTCTGAGCATAAGAACTTCTCTTAACATCTTGCCTTTCAAAAGGCAGAAGACCTTATTTTTCTGAGTGCTGAAGTAGAAAGGCTATTGATTAGACTATTAGTTTTGTTATTCTCTGTTTTGATTGTAATCCGCTATGAATGCAGGTGGTCTATAAAAACCTTTAAGTCAATCAATAAATAAGCATTACAAAATGAATATAGGGTGAGACTTAAGACAGGAATTGGCCAAATTCACTCACTAAATTTACGACAGAAACAAGACTGAAACACAGACTTTCTAATTCATAGCCCATAACTTAGTTATTGTTCCACATGAACAACTTAATATGGAATATATAACTCATACAGCAAGACAGGTACGTGCAGTCAGGGGAGGCAGGGCCTCACCACTGTTGTCATGAAAAGAAAAAAAAATNATTTTCTCAGATTCAAAACATAAAGCTTTTATCAAATGTTGATACCTGTGGAGAGAAGAGTTCTTTGCTCTTCTGATTCACCTGAAGGACTGGGGCAACCAGATCAGCTAGCCAACCTGTACAGACCCCTCTTCGCAGCTCACCTAGGTGGGATGGAAACTCCAGAATATTAAAGATGAAATGCATCTTTCCAGGATGAAACAAAGTCGAACTGCAATGAAATAGTCAAAGGAAAAAAACCAAATGTTCTATTGAATAATAATAAAGCATTCTGTCAAAAGCAAGGGTTATTCTGGACAGCCATGCTGCTGTGTGCTTCTACCAGCCCCTTTTTATTCTCAGAATGATCATAAGGTATTACTATTGTCCAATATTGTCCAATACTCCAGATAGGAATCTGAGACTGAAAGCATGTGGCCAGTTATGACAGTTAATATAAAAGACAATTCCCAAAAGCTCTCTGATTATACTGTTCAGTTTCTCCGCATGATTTGTCAGAATTCCAATGATTAACCTTGCAGAAAGATGGCTGAGGAATCACAAACACACACCGTGAAGGTGCTGCTGCTACAGGCCAACAGCTTTGTAGTTCAAAGGCTTGAGAACTGGCTTCAACTTGAATCACTTTGAAACAGTGGTTTCCCTGGACAAATGAGCCACGACAAACCAAACAGGAACTTCCAAAACAGAGATAATGCTTAGCAAAAGATGCCTTTTCATTCTGCTATTACTAGTGCTGAGAAACAAACCACGAGAAATCTAATGAAGTATAATATGTGAATGACCACCAGTCTTCAATTGCTAAGCTGGTACACTTCCAAAGATTTCAATTTAACGTCTCAGCTAAGTTCTCCAACCATAAAAAGGTTTGGATCCATTTAAACAAATGGAGAACACTTTCAATTCACAATTAAAATTTAATTACATTACCTTGCAGCTGAATAGGGTCTGGCTTGTAACTTTGGAAGATGTTCTGAAAAAGAAGAAACCTGTGAGCATAAAGATTTAGCCTTGAATCCACTCTTATCTATTTACAAAAACAAAACAATGGAATTGTATAGTAATTATGTATTTAAATAAAACTTAAAGTATTATGTAGATTGTATTCTGATTTCATTTTTTTTAAATTTAAAACCTTTTATTTTNTGACAGGTAGCCAGCGCAGCTCGCGGAGGATAGGATATTAAGATGAAACTGAAGAAAATGTACAAACCAATACTCCTCTCCTCCAGTGATTAGGCATGATTGCTAAATTACTCACTTAAAAAAAATATAAAAAATAAGGAAACACAGGAATGAGTAAACTATGAAATAATTAATGATTTCCATTGAAAGGAAGTGAAGTAAGATGACAGAAACTCAATTTCTAATAACAGAAATTGGTTTACCAAGTAACATATTTGTCTTTGAGACTTTTTCCCACAGCATGGTGTGACAGTTGCTTCTACATTTTGAACAGAACAATCTTGATAGATTGTTAAGAAGGTCACAGACAAAAGAACAGTAAAAGTCACAGGCCTCACTTCTATTAAAATATAGTTTCTATTAATGTAATAAATGAAAGGCTTGTGTCATTGTTAAGCATTTTTCATATAGCTGCAAAGACCCCTGCAGTTTCTTTAGCAAATAATTAATGTCATGAAATAATTTGTTTTTTAAATGACTGCAATTTCTCTTTTGGCCATAAAGCACTTTCAAATGGATGCAAGTTGATTCTTGTCACTAGAAGTGGTTTGCTTCCTTCAAATGAATTCTGAAATTTTTAGATTATTTATGTACTCTTCAACAGAATTATTATAATGCTTTATTTTACTTGATTTTTATTAAACATTTTTTTTGTAAAGTAAAAACAGTAAAATTTTAAAGACCAAAGAATCAACCACAAAAGTGGTTAGTAAATAAGAAAGTAGTGAAAGAAAAAAGAAAAATGATATAAAGGATTGGCAGTCAATCTTCCGTACAGCATAAATTATAAAAATAAATTCTATTTTATCCTCTCTCTAAGTGTCAGGCCTGACACTAAGATTACATCAAGGCTCTTCCTACACTTCAAACCCATGAATCACAAATTCATTTTTTCCCCCATTTTCAGCAAAAACATCCACAAACAATTTCTAGTCACTGACAAATCTAAACATTGTTTTCCCTAATCAACTAAGTCAATTTTTCCATCTCTGGAAATTCTGTCATCTTTATCAATTATTCCTCCATTGTGGGTATTTTATGTTCATCTTTGTTCAAATAACAATCTCGCTGTGGATGCCAGGTACAAAAATAATCTTCCATAGGTTTTTTCTACATATCTGTTCATTAATCTCAGTAAGAAAGATTCTGGTTTCAGTTGAATATTAATCTTTAACATTCTTTATTTAAACCTCAAAGTTTCTAGCTTTTTTTTACAAGTCCACCAAGCATGATAAAATAACTCTTCACATTTCCAACATAGTTCTAAGTACTTCTGGTGTCACATACCAATAGTACTTCATTACATGTACAAATTATCTTTTAAATTATAATTAAAAAAATTGTAATTTTAAAACTATAATACATTTCTCATCATCAATCCCAAAGAAGTGTACACTAATCATAAAATGGTGATCCAATATAGTTGCTACAATTAATTGCTACAGTCAATGTTTTATGATTTGGCTTCTATTTTCACCCACCCTCATTCTCCCACCTTAGAAATTAATCCAAACTTCCTCCAGAATAATTCCAACATTCTGGTCCTCAGGAGTGGAAGTTTTCCATTTTCAGAACCAGGTCTGCTAGTAGAATCGTATCTTTACATAGGACCCTAAATTATATTTTTTATAGCTGCTACTACCAATCCACAAACCACTGTACTAAGAATGGAAGTGTCAGCCTCTGCTTTGCTGTTGCTTCAGCTGCCATGAAACGGGGAGGGAGGGCATGGTATTTGGGAGGGNTCACATGGGTGGCAAGCCACTCCCACAAAGGAGGCCATACCCATAGAACAATTTTTGAAACCCACCACTGAGTTGAAACATCCCATAAAATGACTCACCAATCAAAAGACTAAGCGGGGGCTTGCAAGTTGGGAAAACCCTGAGCAAATCTAATAAAGTAACAATGGGATCCCTTATAAAAGAGTTATAATCCGAGGATCCTTGCTTGCTACACAATTCTTGAAGTCTTCTTTTTTCACTAACGTCAGTGGTGTAGTTTACCAAAGAGCGCAGAAATGCCTAATAAACAAACAAACAAACCATTCAGAATTGAGCATGAGTGAACAACCTACACTTTAAAAACAATAGTCATCCTACTCAATTTCACAAAGTTAGTCACAATGAGCGGATCCTCAAACCAAAAGCAAGCCGATATGAATTGTGTTTGAAGCAGTGTTTAACAGCAACAAATTACGTTAAAACTACAGAACTGCATAAAAATAAATGAAAAATGCAACAATATCATATGCATTGTGCTTTTATAAAGATATAAAATGCAAACAAGTTGAGAAACACTGCCAGTAAATAGAACTCTGCATAGATTGTTAGATGATGACATCTAGTGGATTATATTGAAAAAATAATAATAACCCAATATGTTCATCTGCAAACATACAATTTGAACACTAGGTATTCAGACTCGGCTTATTTAATTGAAAAAATAATATTATATGCACACACATGAACAGCCTTATTCAAACATGTCGATAATTATTACTATAAGCTCCCAATAGTGATTTTATTCATTGCAAATAAGAGACAAGCCTTCAGTAAATATTCATAGAAGTTTTTCCTGATTCTGAAGCGGCATAAAATCATTTCACTTAGTATAGGCAACTGTTTAGACCAGTGTTTCTTAACCTTGGCGACTTTAAGTCCTGTGGACTTCAACTTCCAGAATCCCCCAGCCAGCATAGCTATACATTTGGTTTTTCCACAGGACTTAAAGTCGCCAAGGTTGAGAAACACTGGTTTAGACATTTAATGTATTGCCCATCAAAAGTAAGAAAAAGAGAAAGAATGATGATGCATTTTCTCAACATCAGGCAGTAATCCGCTTGGCTAGACGGTTAAGTAAACAACACATCAGTTGTCGAAGACATTTAATTTGAAATAGCAGACAGCGTGGCACGACAAAACCGCGGTCCACTAAAGCGCGCCCGATTAAAGCGCGTACGTGACGTCATCAGCAGCGCGA